TCTTTCCTATTTTTCTTTTGTGTGCATCTGTCGTAACTTTTCATTCTCTCTCTCTCTCTCTCTCTCTCTCTCTCTCTCTCTCTCTGTCTCTCTGTCTCTCTGTCTCTCTGTCTCTCTGTCTCTTGCTTTCTCTCTCTTTCTCTCTCTTTCTCTCTCTCTCTCTCTCCCTCTCTCTCTCTCTCTCTGTCTCTCCTCTCTCCCTCTCTCTCTACGAGTGGTTACAGGGTGCCACTGATAGCCTAGGTCCTACATCTTTACAATCCTTCTGTCTCTGACTGTCTGTCTGTTTGTCTGTCTGTTTGTCTGTCTGTCTGTCTGTCTATTGTACTCTTTCCTTGCACTATATGAGGTGGCGTGAAAAGTATGAAATCGAAGGCTAAGGCATTTTTCCGCCAGTTTATCAATTTTCAATTTGTCTTTTGTCTCAACACCTTTTATGCCTATATAAATACACATTTCCATGTGAGCCTTACTGGAAAACAAAGATTGAAGGCGCAAAATAAGTAAATTTCCAGTTTTCAAGGACTCTCAAGCTATTGAGATTACGAAACTTTGGCGGTCATTACTTTCTCTCTGAAACCAGGCGATCCCACCCCCCTCAATTGCAAATATTTCAACTTCTATTCAAGATAGATGGCTATTTAAAAAATCAAAATCAAGGCAAATAAATAAGCTTTCAGACGCTACTAATAACTCTATATGTCCAAAAATTGACGAGTGCCTGATTCCACCACGTCGTTACACATATGACCGCTACAACGCCAATGTCCTTCTTTGCACACCCTGGTCTGTCCGTTTACCAGTCGTTGTGTCGCATGTTCAGCTATTTTCTCAGTCTGCTCGCAAAAAAACAACAAAAACAAGAACAAACAAAAAATCATAAATTAAAAATTAATATTTAATACCCGTACGTGTATCCTATTCTTAGTGGAATGTGCTGTGTGACCGAGCCTGGATCAAGCAAGTGGTGACTTCAGCCCAGTTCGCCGGAGTCATGGTGGGATCTTTCGTGGGTGGCTGGATGGGAGACGCGCTGGGACGTAAGAACTCTCTGTACGCCTTCATGGCACTGCACGCACTGACCAACATCGTGTGTGCTTTCTCTGTCTGCTGGGAGATGTTTGCCGCCTTGCGCTGTCTTATCGGAGTGGGATGTGGTGAGTAGTTAGGCATATTGCCAGAAGTTCTACACTATACTTTTGAAACAATTTGACACACACGATAATGGGGATATTTATGATAGCAGTAGTAGTGGAGGTGGTAGTAGTAGTAGTAGTAGTAGTAGTAGTAGTAGTAGTAGCAGCAGTAGTAGTAGTAGTAGTAGTAGTAGTAGTAGTAGTAGTAGTAGTAGTAGTAGTACAAAGAAGAAGAAGAAAAAGAAGAAGAAGAAGAAGAAGAAGAAGAAGAACAACAACAACAACAATAACAACAACAACAACAACAACAACAACAACAACAACCTCAACACCACACACAATAACAATAATAATAATATATGATAGATAGATAGATAGATAGATAAATAGATAGATAGATAGATAGATAGATAGATAGAAAGATAGATAGATAGATAGATAGATAGATAGATAGATAGATAGATAGATAGATAGATAGGTAGCAAACTCTAAGCTCCTTATAAGCTGTTTTAAATATTTATTTTTTTGTTGGTTTTTGTCCCTTTTTCGAAGTGTTCTGTTTATTTACTTTGTACTTACTCTTCAAATTTCATTCTTTTAAGAAAGTATTATTTCGTTACGTTTAGGAGGGGGAGGATGGAGTGTCCTGCAGGAATAGTAAGGTGCCGGTCTTACGATGAAATCTTTTTAAATTTTAAAAACGCATTAATGCATGAATTTTACTGTAGACGTTCTATAAAGGCACACAAAAACGTACATGGGCTGATTTCAAGGACTATCCAGCTTTGGAAGTCACCAAATTTTAGTAGCCATTTTCTCTCTACTTTTTATCTCTGAAAACCCCCACCTCATTCAGTCGCGAACATTTCAAATTCTGTTCAAGATGGATGGGTACTTTTTTCACCGAAAGCAAGACAAATGAACAAGCTTAAGATGATATCAATACTTCCACATGCTCAAAACTGGACGAGCTCCTGATTCGTCCAACTGGAAGCTGCTCTCTATTTTCCTCAGTTCACACAGGTGTCGTCATTGGGTAATTAGAAGTCGACAGGTTCGCAAAAGAGAATGATGAAGATAATTCGCCCCTATAAGGCTGAAACAGGAGTTAAGAATGAATAGTCCTGACAGGCGCGTTATCAATTTGTAAACATTTTTAGTTAGGGGCAATATTTTGAGAACATTAAGTTTGGGGGACATAAAATCATAGTAGGTTTTCAAATACATATTACTTTGTTAATCACAATACTCATTAAGGGCGTGTCTTCTGTTCATTCGAGGTCGTTTGAAAAGGTGAAGATGCGCTATTGCGGGGTACTTCCAAAACGAAATATAACCTTGATATTCATACATGTTTTTTTGCCAATTTTGTTTTCCCCCGTTTTCTTTCTTTTTTGTTTGTTTGTTTTTGTCTTATTTTGTTTTTTCAACATTTGAAGCTTCAAAAGGTCGGTAACAACATTCGTATTATGAAAATGTCCAATTCGTGTCTCTGATTTGTGTCATAATAGTTCGAAATGTTCCCCAGCATTGCCTTTGGACTGAGCTATTGATGGGACATTATGTGTCCTCTACGTCCTTATAAAGAATTAATTCCTTACTTCTCCTCTCTTTTTTGTATTTGTTGCTCTCTTATAACACGTCCAAAGCTCTAGTCTTTGGCACTTCTACGACTTTATTGTGTTGCAAGTGCCCTAAAAACTATTACCAAAAAAAAAAAAAAATACAGAATGATTATTGAAGTAAATTGGTTGGTAATGTTTCCATTCTGTCCTGTGTTGCACAAGTTGGAGCAAAATGTATTTCATGCAACGAAACAATCCTTGATATTATAATTATTAGGCCTATAATAAAACTGCCACAAGTGCGTTCGAGTTATTAAATATTTCTTTTTAAAGCAATAATTCAACCGACACTGAGGTTGGGAGGGGAATAGAGGAGCCATAAAGAGAATATTCACAATGACTTCTTTATAGAACGAACAGCTGCCAGCGGTTGGATGATACTTGAAATAACATTACATTTACATCTGGCCATCGTTTTGGGTGATTTCATAGTTTGCATTTATTCACGAAGATTAGGAAGGATTATGCATAAGTAATTAACACCCGACCTTTACATCTTTTGTTTTTCATTTTGCACGGTTCATCTCAGAATCTCTCCGAATAGCTTTCTCGAAACTATTTTCACAAACCACCACCACCCCTCCCATCTATATCTTATCTCTCCCCTCCCCCTTTTCCCCCTTTTCACCGAATCCACCTTCACCACCACCTTCCCCCTCTTCCACCCTCAATCCCTCTTTCCACCTACCTCCCCCTTTTTTCTCCTCGCACCTAATCCACCTTCACCCTCCCCTTCTTCCCCCCTCAATCCCACCCCAAAACTCACCCCCTCACCCTTCAACATTC